AGCCACCATTCTGTACACGGTCACCTTGTTGATAATACAGAAGCTTCCGTCTCCACGAGACCTTCGACTACCCTTTCCCTCCAAGTCCCTTACACTGCCACACTATAACAATATGTAAGTTATGTCTAGTAGGACAGATTTCTAGTAGGAGAGATTCACACTCCTCCCGAAGTACGGCAACATTATCGGAACTTTATAATGAACTTTTTAACATTTCTTGGATATGTGGGTTTAAGGTCAGATTTATTTTCGCTACCACGGAACATACAAATGAACATATTCAGAACTTCTTGTAAATATTTTATAGGGCGCCCACCAAACTTCTCTAACGTAGGACATTTTATTTGGAAACTTTGTCCAGGAACAACAAACAAGTATATACATATATATTGCAACTTTCCTACACTTTCCATTTGGTAGGACACTTTCCTTCAATATTTTATCTTAACTTATGGCATATGTTGTCAAGATGTAATTAAGTAAGTATGTATATTTGGTAGGAGGAATTTTTGGTAGGACAAAATCACACCCCCCGATATATACAAAGGCACCATACATTGATGCTTTTTCAGTTCTCCAATAACGTAGGCTGAGCAGTTTTCTACAAAGTATTCAAGGCACTATGCTGTTAACTGAAAACTACTAATCTGCTAAGAAAGACAGCTCAGAACGGATTTCATGAAATGAATTGTACATCAACCATTTCAATTATGTTTTATTAGATTTCAATGATGTAATGAAAATATTCAGTTTTCCCAACATTCCTTTGACACTTTATTATATACATATATATATGGAAGTGTATATGTATTCTTATGCTTCTTTATTATTAAAAGTGTGGACCATGTACTAGATTTGTATTGTATGAAAGTGCTTTCTTTGTTAAAAGACTATTCATACGATTCAGATATGGTTCCTTTTAATGTTAATATGGCAGGAAGTAAACGTACTCAATAAATGTTATTCTGTAGAATTTTATAGTCAGAACACAAAGTTTATGCGAAGATTCAAAGATACATTCTTTTCTTAAAAAAGTTCCCAGCTGCATCCAACATCCTAGTTAAGAATAAATAATACTAATTAATTTTCAAAGTTGTATAGACATGCATTATAAATAATCACCAATATAACTATTGAAACACTCAAACGATCACATGAAATTAAATAAAGAAAAAATAGCATAAACAAATTATATAAGTTGTTATATTACTTTACCTGAAATTAAGTTACTTAACAAAGATATGATGTCAGTGCTGATTGAAAAGTTACTTCACAAACATAATACAATGTACATAAAAGTATCTGAAAAAGGACAGATATAATTATACGATTAAATATGACGTTTCAATAACGTTCATTACAAGTAGTACCTGTTCCATTTTAGATGAAATAAAAAAGGCTCTTCAATACCTCATTTGACAGATCACTAATAAGATTATTGTGGTCAGATGAACGTTTATTACAATTGCAATGCAATTGTTTCCCACAATAAAAACTGTCACAAAACTCAGGTTGATTATCAATAAATAACTTTATGCTCTTTAAATCATGACATACAAGAGGTTTATTAAAGAATACTTCACATCTTTCCGAAAACAATTGACAACCAGTTTTTTTCAGTAACTGCAGCCAGCGAACTCTCATTTCTTTAACTTCCAAGTCATTTCTGCCTAAATATGCACAATTAAATAAGAACAGAACAGGCCCGGGAAACCAATCAGGAAATTTATCACTTGACCAATTTTCATTAGGCATCTGTATGTAAGGAAAACATTTCAACATGATATATACATTACATTAACTATTTATTGAATACATTTTATTACAAACCTTTTAATTTTATCTAAAAAAATATCAATGGAAGATATATGTTGAGGAACGACTAAAGCAACAGATGGTCAAGTTCTTTCTTTTATTCCCCTTCCCTGCATGGCTATGAGACCACCCTCCCTGGCCAGGGTCCCACTGCAAGCCCCGAACACCCCACTGGCAAGGGCCACTGTTGCCCAGCCCATAAATACAACCGAGCCAGAGCTCCGCCAACAGTCTGCGGTCTGGCCCTGCCCTGTGAACACTGAACCTCAATAAACACTCTACCAAAGCCAACGTGTTGTCATCGCCCTTCACCTGCCAAACCCAACAACTGGTGACAGCGGTGCAAGTTGCGACAACACTTGGCCGAGGCTGGGTTTTTGAGAGGGGGAGTGGGAGCGCTGATCAGATCCAGAGTGCCGAGAGTTTGCGAAAGAGTGAGTAGACGAGTTGACTAGCAGCTCAGTAGGGGGTGGAGGCAAGTGCAGGAAGTTCAGGCTGTCCACTGGACGGAGCCGTACGACCGAGCAGCCCTTGAGGCAGGTGCAGGAGTACAGGCTGTCCAGGCGGAGCCGCGAATCCGAGCAGCCCAACCCCAGACCGAATGTGTGAGTGAAAGAGAAAGTGGTCCGAGGCAGGTGCAGGCGGTTCAGACTGTCCACTAGCCGGAGCCGTACGACCGAGCAGCCCTTGAGGCAGGTGCAGGGGTACAGGCTGTCCGCTAGGCGGAGTCGCGAAGCCGAGCAGCCCTACCACGAGTGAAAGAGAGAGTCGAGCGGAACCGGCTGAGCCGAGCTGTGGACCTAACCAACGAGACTGTGCTACTGGAATCCAGGACGCCAGTCTGATAACCCCCCACGAATGGGGGAGCATCCAAGGTTTTTTTAATGGGCGACTTCAAATTTTGACGGGTGGTACGATGGGACCATGCCGTTGCCATGGAGATTTTTTTTCATGTTTTGACCATTTGCTCAGAACATATACGATTTCTTGTTACTTTGATGAGCCAGGAGGTTTAGTTTTGAGGAGTGGCACATTTTTTATTTGAACCATTTTTTCATATCATTAACGGTTCACGTTTTCGATTGTTGCAAATTTATGTTTTTCGCGTTTACGGAAAATTTCCACGATGAATTTTCGAAAAAAATTAGAATTTTCGTTTTTTTCATGGTTGAAATAGTTTAGAGTTGTTTATTTGAAAATCGGAGAGGGGGGGGGGGAAGAATCCACGGACCTCGGACAATAGGGGTTCTTGGGAACCCCTAAAAAACAATAAATTGATCAATAAAGGAATAAAAAAATTCATGGGCCATATAGGCAGAACAATTTAAACAGACCAAAGAACAAGCGAAAACTGAAGCCAAAGAAAACTCAACAAAAGAATATGAATAATAAACCAAAAAATATGAATAATAAACCAAGAAAAAGAAGAACGAAAAGACACAATCGAATTTTAAAATTTACAAAAAGCAATATACAATCAAAAGGAGTTACAAAACTATGCTAGAAGCCAGCGCAGCAGCGACGGCCCGTGCTGCTGCTCGCTCCTCCCTGGCGGCGGCCTGCCGGCGCGAGAGAGCCAGGACGCGGGCGTCCCACGCCTGGCGTTTCGCGCACCGACAGGCACGCTCTACGAGGATGACCCCAGGACATCCCGGGGAGACCGATGCGAAGGGGCACCGAAATTGGTGCTCCCACACATGGTGGGCTCCCGCAAGACGCCTGAGGCCGTCCTCGGCCTCTTCAAGGGGTTCGTGGAACTCCGTCACGGAGTGGACCGCCACGAAACGCCCCACCGTCGCCAACCGCCGTGCCACGAAGTCGGCGCAGTGGAAGCACGACTGATGGAGGACCCCATGTCAGAAACTACCCAAGGCACACGAGGGAGCACCACGAACACTTGGAGACTTACCGTCCAGGAGGCAGCCCCACCAGGGCCAAACTGCACCACCATGCCTACCATGCACTTGGGCTTTTCTTCCTCCGAGGAGACAGATGGCAAAGAAGGAGGCAATGGGGGAGGCATTTTCAGGAGCGTCTAAGCCGAGCTAAGGTCAGGGAAGGCAGGAAGATGGCAAGGGAAGTCCGATGGAGGTTGGGCAGAGCAGCGGTGGTGGAACGTAACTGGACTGACCAAGCTCTGAACCACCACTGCGCGCTAAACAAACCCGCAGCCAGGCGACCGAGGTTCCCCCTCCACCTGCCCGGTTTCCCCCACCTTCACAACCAGTCTAGTTGGTGCCAACCCCCAACCACTACGACTAACATTTGAGTTGCCAACATTAAAGGTGTGGAAATAAGTGTTCAAGCGCCAAGAAAACAACAAATACAGAGCCAAATGTTTATTACTAAAACTAAAGCCAAAAGGTTAAATATTGAAAATTACGAGAAAGATACGGGAAATAACTGGCAAAATACAGAAAAGATTACTAAGGAGAAACCACCAAATTTAACTACAAAGCACCGTTCAAAGTCCAACTTTATCAAAAGAACTACAATTGCAGAAGGAAATTACAACATTACAAGAAATTTTCTACAGAAGCGTTTAGCCACTCGGGCATGAGGGTTACTGTTACTCAGCCAGAATGTTTTCGGGATCAAAATTGTCCAACTCGCTCTGAAGAAGGTTCACCCGGGCCTGAGCACGGGCGAGGTCGGTCTTAGCATTCTTCAGAGAGGCCTCCAATGCAAGCCGCTCATTCTCCAGGGCAGGGTTCCCATAGCATTTTCGCTTGGCACAGTTGCAGATCCAGTCGGACACTGGGTGGGCGATGCAGTCGCCCCAGAAGCATCGCGCCAGCTCACAGTGGAAGCCCATCTTGTTGTATTTCTCCAAGTACCAGCGAGACTCCAGAGATCGAATGGCCGGAATGGCGCCAATAATTTATGGAAAGCCAGAGCTCGGCGATACGGAATAATAAGGCTCCAGAGATTACGAGGCGAGAAGTCGTACGTTGACACCAACGTCACGTTTCAAATCGAACGGCTATCGCAGATCGTTAAATCAAAGGGCTCGGCGAGAAGGCGGCAAGGCGGTCCAGAAGCTGGGAGCCGACCGAGCGAAATGGTGCCAACCGAGAAAAGTCAAACCAAGCGTGCGACCACACAGAGTGGATGGCCAGAGTTGACATTTGTGGCACGGTAGGTGCCGGCCAGAACAATAGTCATTCAACCCGAGACCGATAGCGCACCAGGAAACGCGATCAAGGCACGCACAGAGGCCAGTGGCCTAGGAGCAGAATGGGACGGCTCCAGTCGCCCAGAAGCCTCCCACCAGAACAGACATGGAAATTTTAGTCGCCCTCGGAGGGTTGGCGTTGGCCACCCTGTTAATTATCCGAAACATCTGCCGGCGAAGCAGACGACGGACCAGAGTCAACAAAATCATGGTGTACGTAGAAGGCAACATCGGAGTAGGAAAGACCACTTTATTGCAAAAACTGGCAGAAAAAGGGTACCCAGTGGTTCAAGAACCTGTGAAACTTTGGACCGACTGCAACGGAGTGAACTTCTTGGTTCTGTACTCGAAGGACCTACCGAAATGGGCTTTCACTTTCCAAACGTTAGCCTTGTTTTCAATCTGGCACGAGCAAGCGGAGGCCTGTGGCGACCAACCTATAATAATCATGGAAAGATCGGTCCACAGTGTGGTGAAAATGTTCGCCCTCAATCAATTCAAGAACGGATTCCTCAGCCTACCGCAGTACTTATTACTGGAGAAGCTATCTCAGATGCTGTCAGGAAGATTTAAAAGAAGAGAAGTGTTCATCTACCTACACACCACAGCTGAGGAAGCACATCACAGAATGAAGCTCAGAGCCCGTTCCGAAGAAGCCGGATTGTCACTGCAGTATTTTCAACAACTTCAGGAGATTCTTCTTGGCTGGATGACTAAGGAAGAAAAACTGCAATTGGTGGTCAACGCGTCTCAAGGGCCCCAGGAAGTCTTCCGAGTAGTGGAGCGGTTCCAGCAGACCTGACAGCGGTGTATGTGGACGGAACAACGGCAGAGAGCATCCCCAAACAAAGTTAAGTATTCCAACCCTTTTAAATGTAATTAAATTACTTAGAAAATGATGGTGTTTGAAGATAGGATTTAGCTAGCTAGTCAGGAAACACCAAGGCAAAACCCCACTCTGTAGCTAGAGGGGCGAGAAAGAATGTTTTTCTGTGCAGTCTTGTTGTGTATGTTCAGGAATTACTTCAGAGCCGAGAACTCCTAGAACTACAAGGATAACCCACAGAAGACACCCGTTCTTCACTCCAGCCTGTCCGAGGCAGCACGCTGAGCCTCGAGACCTTCGGCTGTTAACTAATCACTTTCTCCCCTAATAGTGGCTATGCTTTTTGGCCCGTCCCGTTTATTTTTTGTAAAAAAAATGACGGAGGGACGGGCATATAGTATGATGCATGCTGTGCGTCCGTTCGTTCGTTCGTTCGTCCGAGGACTTCCCGTGGTCCGATCTTGACCAAATTTGGTATGCAGCCTCCTTGGGTGACCCTAAGAACCGCCCGGTGGTAGCAAATCCGATCCGAGCCCCGGGGGCGCTGCTGCAGGTGCATTATGGTCTACATGGGGTCGAGGAGGATTTCGGCAACGGATGCAGCTAGGAGGGCATGTAGGGGTATTTTTGGAATCGGGGCGACGAGAAAAAACCAATGGTGCCAGTTTCGAGCGAATCGGAGAAGTTTGGACCCGGGTTCAAATCCCAGTGGGGTATATTTTGAACATTCTTTTTATTCCAGTTTTTGCATTGTTTCTGATGTTTTTAAGGGTGCTGATGACGAAAACGACATTTATTTTAATCCCAGACTCAGGTTTGAATCCCGTCAGGGTCAAACATGGGCGAAATTCGTACGTTTCTTAATGTACGGGACGGGCCAAAGTTGTCGATGTATATCGCTACTTTTCCTGTTATTAAAATGTTGAACAGGCGCGTCAGAGGACCTCAGGACAGCTTCCCTAATGCTAGCTCGAGGAAGTGCCATGAGAGTCACTGACAACCTACTCTACGGAACACCCAAAATTGAAAGGCGGTACACATGGCGTTACAAAGGCAGTAAAAAAATTACCGCCCTCTACGGGCGGAATCCATTTTTTACCGCCTTTCCAAGTGCGGTAAAAAATTACCACCCTTTTTAAAGGCGGTAAATTTACCATCTTTCACAGCTGTACCACCTTAAATGTTCCCTCCAAAAGGAATATTCAAGGCGATACAACTGTGAAAGGTGGTAAATTTACTGCCTTCAAAGGGTGGTAATTTTTGTACCGCCCTTGGAAAGGCGGTAAAAAATGGATCCCGCCCGTAGCAATATTACCGCCCTCGAAAGTGGTAATTTTACCGCCCTTAGGTTTTCAGTGAAGTTCAACTTGCTTTGCTTTTATTTTTATTTATTTTACCATGAAAGGCGAGTCAGGGAAGGACTGGACACCCTTACCCTGAGAGGCCTGATTGGCATTAGAACAGCAAATCCTTTTTAAATAATCCTTAAACCATAAATGTACGGCTGGCAACAAGGGCACGAGCCAAACTTTTCAAAAAGAAGGGAGTGGTGTAACTTTTAAAGAAGGGAGTGGTGTAACTTTTTAAAGAAGGGAGTGATGTTGAGGAACGACTAAAGCAACAGATGGTCAAGTTCTTTCTTTTATTCCCCTTCCCTGCATGGCTATGAGACCACCCTCCCTGGCCAGGGTCCCACTGCAAGCCCCGAACACCTCACTGGCAAGTGCCACTGTTGCCCAGCCCATAAATACAACCGAGCCAGAGCTCCGCCAACAGTCTGCGGTCTGGCCCTGCCCTGTGAACACTGAACCTCAATAAACACTCTACCAAAGCCAACGTGTTGTCATCGCCCTTCACCTGCCAAACCCAACATATACATGAAATTTAAAAAAGGCAGCAAAGAAATAGTGTCATTGTTAGACTAGTTAGGAGTAACTATGGTTTCAGAACATTTCAAAAGACAATAGAAAATTCACAATACATAATTCAATCCAGTAAATAATAGACTAAAGAAGAAAACATACAAAATAATAAATAAAATAATACTAAAATGGCAAGTAACTTGCAAGATGATTCAGATTCCAATTCAGAAACCAGTTCCTACAAAGACACCACAAGTACAACGAGCAGTAATAGTACTGATTCAAACCGATCCAGATCACCATTGGTACGACAACCAATAATATTTCAGGTGTGTCATTTAAGACATATTTGTATTCAAGACAATGATTACAATAACACGATCCATCATAGAATATCTAATTAAAAAAGAAACTATATCTTTACAGCAACCAACACAATCAATGAATTTTCGAAATCCACCATATCGTATTCAACAAAATTTGCATGAAAATACTCATTATCCCATTGTCAAAATTCAAAGAATCGGAAATCATAGTTTGGCACCAATTCTGATTCTATTCCGAGATCCCAACAACGACATGGCTGAGTATAATATGTTCCTCCCACGAAGATTGCGAACAATTGATACAACAGAGTTACAAAATCTGAACAATTTGGCAAGTGCAAACAATTTATTTATACAGAGAAATTCCAATATAGGAGACACACAGCCAGTATGTTTACTTTGGCATGAAGGTGAAACTATATTGCACATATAAGAAGACCCAACCAGGTAAAGACGATTATAAAGACAAACAGTACACATATGAATGCTCTTCATGACTTTCATCTCTACAGATTCCTATAATAAGAGAAGATTCGAATATAATATACAATTCAGAACAGAAGTTTCAATACTTAAACTTCCAATCCATACAGAAATGATTTCACAAATATAAAAACATACCAGGTAAATACACTTAAAATAACAACAAATATATAGATGAAAACTATACTTACACAGATTACATAGTAAAATATTTTACAGGCACTTCATAAGAAGAAGTTCAAGTTAAACTAAACGCATGATACGGACCCCATTTGAGTCATCAATGTAAAGTAGCAATGAAAAGAATTTAACAACATGGATCATCAACAAGAAAGAAATAAAAGAAACATGACTAACCCAATTAAAGTTTAAAAATTGTAAGCGTCTATGTGTTACAAATGATGCTGCATCTGAACACAATGATATAAAATTAACTGATGTTGGAAATCCTGTTGTTATCTTGAAAGCCGAAAATAGTTCAAAAATTGCCAAAAAGGGTCGGATCTCTTGATTGGAAAGTTGTGAAGGTCCAGTCTTCTGATGGGTAGCGATGAGATACAGCACTCGGGATGACACACGTTACAGCCTAAAGAAAGACAAAAAATAAAAGAGCTAAGTTAAAATTTTGCTATGTTTACCAAGTTTGAAAATCAAGAAAAGTAAGTTAACAGGCATACTGTTCAATATGTAAGTTACAGAATTACAATTGATAAAAAGGTGCTTGGAATTTAAAAACAAATATATCTAACTCAAACAGGATAATGGAGGCACAAAAGCAAACTGAAGTCAGAGTAGAACCACCGAATGAAAGCAATGACCAAACTTACTCATAGATGCTGTTGTAGCGTGAGAGTGTTGTTATGTCATAGAGCAGGACTGTAGTAATGGCGATTCAGCCATTTCACCTTCATATTGACGTAAGTAGCTCATTGTAGACAAGGATCTATGCACTTGACTGCAACACATAAACAACAAGAAACTTGTCACACATGGTTCATAACAATTTTCAATTAGAGAAAATGAAAGTTTGAAAAAAAAGCTCAACAGAAATATTAGCCTTAATACTTAAATTCTTTGGACAACAACATTGGACAGGGGGCCGGCCCAGCTTGGCCTGCCGGCGGCCTTTTCTCGGGCCTTCAGCCCGCTCGCATCACACACACCGTGAGCGGGTAAAGCAAAGTTATCGATGTACCATCGTGACTTAGGCCCGCCCTTCTATTCACAATATGCAATAGTCCTTACACTTTTTACTCCAACTGTCCTTAGAATATGCCCATTTCATTTGTCTCTTCGCCCTCATTCCGAAAATACCCATATTTGCCATGCTACTGCAACTCCTTGCAATAGAGGCACAGCAGGAGCGCAAAACGAGTCCGTCGCACTTTTTTTTCTCATAACTCATGAAGGCGGGCTCCTGGACCCCCCTTCCGACCCCTCGTTGAAGAGGTCTTGCCAAGACCTATCCAAAACTTAAGTAAAAATTTTCAGTCGGTCGACCCCCTTTTTTCAAGATCCTGATGTGACTAATAGACGAAGTCGGGCTCCTGGACCCCCTTTCCGACCCCTCGTTGAAAAGGTCTAGCTGAGACCAATCGAAATCTGCAATAAATTTTTAAGTCGGTCGACCCCCCTTTTTGAAGATCCTGATCTGGCCAACTTGTAAAAGCGGCCGATGGGGGAGGGACCAGGTCCATTCATCTTGTCTCGTCACCCCGATTCCAAAAATACCCCTATGTGCCCTGCTAGCACCAATAATGGCGGAAATCCCCCTCCCGGTCATGTAAACCATGATGCACCTGCAGCAGCCCTTGTGCGACCCGGACGGGATTTGCACCACCGGATTATTTGTTTGGACGGTACTCCTGAAGTACCCTCCAAATCTGGTTACTCTAGCTCAACTCCTTCCTTGTACACAGATGCCAACAACAACAACAAGAACAACAACACACAGACACAAAGGCAAATGCATAGGCCCTCCCCCTATTTTTTGAATAGAAGGGCGGGCCAAAAAAGAGAGCAAAATTAATACAGATTTCAAATGCTACAGTTGGTTAAACTGTTAAACAGGTTGCAAACCTACTGCGCATGTCCAAAAACACTCCGATCAAGAAGTATTATTGGATAGTTCTACCCGAAAAACTGCGTTCGAACCGACACCAATTCTATTGTTGCATACCTGCAGTCAAAGAAATTTTTCATTTCGAACGTGCCATTTCAGCTTTTGGAGTAAGCTGTACAGACCCAAAATGAAGCTCGGCTATTGGTCCGCCCCGGCTCGGGCTCCCCCCACTCCCTTGTTTTTCCTTTGACGAGTCGAGTTTTGCCATGGAAACGGCGATTTTGTC